GTTGGCGGAAGGTAATGTATGGGAGTTACCGAAAATTAGGGGTACCTTATTTTGGGGTCCTTATAAAACGGATCCTACTACTTAGGATGCTATATTAGGGTCCCCTGTTTCGCAAACCCCCATATGGGTGCGCATCCATCAACTAAATACAGAAGACAAATCCTCGCTTCGTCTCCAGGATTCCCTCTGCACAACCCTGCAGACCAAAGTCCTACCCCTCAGCCACCCTCATCACAAGAGAACTCAAAGCTTAGGGAACGTGAGGGGCGTCTGCAGCAGGACCCTTTATGTACACAGAAGACAATACCACTTTGAGCGTGTCAACTCGGAGCAACACAAATTTTGCCTCGGGTAGCGCGGCAAATCACATTGCATAGAATCAGTCCTTGAACAAAACATGGAAGCCACATCAAGCACTCCAATATAGGGGCCTCAATAGGGCTTTGAGGCATATTATACTATAGTTACAATCAGGAACCCCGCCACAAAAATGATACCGGCAATTTGTTGAGGCACTTATGTTACGCCCGAAGATCAGACCTCCTGACATCTCAAAGAAAAGAGGTAAGACGATGCCTTCTCAGCGAGAGAGACCTGGATGTCGCGAATCGCCTGACATATTCGCATCGTCAGGCATGCATAATGTGAGTTTTCTGAATGTCTTCGTGTTCCGAGTTCTCGTCACGATCACCACAACATTCTGTAAGCATCAGCCAAATCGATCAAGCCATTTACACTTGGGATCCTGTTGCAGTGTGTTTAGTTCGGGCTGCATCAATATACAGCAGCCCAAGACTGTGCAACTTTCCCATACTCGCGGCCATCAGCAGTCCCATCTTCAATCGCCGCCGGTACTTGTCTATGCTACCGACAACCAGAGAACTCGGCTCGAGCCTGCTGGCAGGCCACCATGCCCTGCGTATGAGTGTTCCTGGGCGGGGAAACGCATCTGGGATGGCGAATGACATCGAACTTGCTTGCCGCCTATTTCACAAGGTCGAGCCTGCATTGCAGAGTCATCAACGAAATCAGTGCTGGGGCTTCGGGTCGTGAAGTTCACTGTTCGGGTCTGGGATTTTCCCACCGGACCAGCTGACAAAGCCGCGGATTTGCGGGGATCCGGGATGCAGGTGGGAGGTTGTCGTGGCGATCCCCACATCACAACAAAAGCTATGATGGGGTAGTCAGAGAACAAGCCAGGGACCTCAAACAAGGCCAATGCCCTGAAAAGCCACACCATGCCCCAAACCCTACGCAGAACCTAACACAGGACCGAAAGCCCGACACCAAAATCCACGCCTCGTCCGGCCAAAAGCTCGCAGTTGCACGCACAGAAGGGCCAGTGAACTGCTTGAATGACTACAAACACCCCTGCAGCTGTCTGAATGGGAAGGATTTGTATGTCAATGTATGTAGTGAGACACACCTGAAACTGCAGATCATGCCGCCTAGTCACTCCAGGGAGGCTTCCAACGTCTCTACTACCACCCTGTGGCCTTGGATGCGTAATTAGCTGAATCAAGCTTGCTTGTCCTTCGAAGTATGGGTTTCGCCGGACAAAACAGTCTGTTGGAGGTTCCTGCCCTCAATGCTTTCGACGTAGTCTTGTCTTGGGTGCAGGGCACAAACTCAGCGCCTGTCGCTGCACTATAAGCATTCGCCGCCAAAACGCAGCTTCTGCCGGTAGATTTTCAGCTCTGGAAACTGACTTAGCGAGCTTTGTTTTCAGACGCAAGCCTGGAGAAAGTCCAACTACACAGCAAAAAGCAGTGCGTCAGGCGACAAAAATGACACAGAACAGAACCCAGATACAACCATGTAAGAACCCAGTGCCAACACCTCGCATAAAACACTGAGCAGACAGAAACAAAGGCTAGATGCAAACCCCCCTTGCTAAACAGAATCCAACAGCAGTGTGGTTTTAGGGCTTAGGGTCGCAACAACTTGATCCGAGAGTGTACACGCATCCACCTGAAAACCCCAAATCCCCAAGCCCTGAAGCTCTACTTGGGGGTTCATGGGACTTAGTAAGTACAGTTATAGGTACCTTAACTGGGGTTATAACCAATTTTAAATCTAGTTACCTTATTTATAACCATAGTTACTAAGTCCCATGAACCTTTAAGTATAGCACCTGGGTACGAAAGCCTAGATCACGAAACCGTAGGGTTGCTATCGCCCCCTTAATGCTTTAAACGGTCCCAAGTCCTGTCATCCAGGTGTACAAATGCGTCCCATATCAATTAAAATCGATTTTAATACCCTGTGCAGGGGTCCCAATAGCCAAATCAATTAAAATCGATTTTAATACCCTGTGCGGGGGTCCCAATAGCCAAATCAATTAAAATCGATTCCAAGTGTTGTCACGAGGCGGACCAATTAAAATCGATTTTAATACCCGGTGCAGGGGTCCCAATAGCCAAACCCATTAAAATCGATTCCAAGTGTTTCCGAACCCAGAACCTCTGGACCAGGGTATTAAAATTGATTTCAAGTCATTGGCAAGAGAAAATTTGAGAAGGTATTAACATCGATTTTAATTGTTTCTCGAAGCTAATCCCTAAAACCCGCAATGAGGTATTAGAATCGGTTTTAAAACATAATTGAAATTGAAATCCAGACTTATTTTCCACCTCAGCATACGTACTCGAACCCCTTGGCGCCTGTCACCCCTAGTTTGGGGTATGCCATATATATATATATATATAATGGTATATAGTTAAGATATATAAGGACTGTAACGGGATCATGCTACCAGCTGTTTGCCGCGGAATGCCTGTGAAACGTCTCACGTCCCAAGGCCCCGGCGCTCCTCTAGAGCTTTGCGGTGCCCCACCTGTCATGAAACCCCTCCGCCCGTCATGTACCGAATACATTGCATTGCGTTGCATTGCATTAAAAGTACACTACATGACATTTCAAAATATGCATAAAGATTCATTGTACTTTTGTTCTACAAACGTGTACAAACAAAGAAACACGCATGTGCCTCTTTGAAGTTTTCATGGGACGCGCCTCTGCCACAAGCTGCCCGCGGAGCTGGTCACCTCAATTCGCACAAAAACTGCCCGTGCTGCCTCATCGGGGTTTTGCAGATTTAGGGTTTCGGCGCTCGCACTAGGACACTCCAGGCGAAGCACATGGTTCGAGGTAGGGCTTCGGTTTTGGGGTTTAGGGGTTTATAGAGTTTACGCCCTCGCAACTCGGACAAGCCAGACGAGGTATCGGTGCTCAGGGCGAGATCACGGCATCGAAGGCTTCTGCCATAGAAGCCCTCCCTAAGCGGCGCAACGGACGGTTAGGTGCCATTTTGCTCCTGCGCTCTGCCACTCTGGAAAGCCGTCTTTCACGGCAGGAAGCTACCGTGATGTATATCATATCGTTCAAGATGCAAGTATGTATGTAGATACCTATGCATGCGTGCATGTCTGTATATGCCTGTGTGAATGTTTGTATGTTCGGATGGGAGGTATGGCATGGCGTGGCATGGCATGGGAGCGCATGCTAGGTACCAAGCGAAAGATGTGAGCTTGAATTATATATATATATATATATGTATAATGAATGTGTTTGTTTTTGCATGCGTGCAAACGACAGACAGACGGACCGACGGACAGAAAGACAGCCAGACCGACAGACGGACCAACGGACAGCCAGACGGATAGGCAAACAAAAAGACGCGTGTTGCAACAACCTCACAACCTCCAACCAAGGGACATCAGGACGTGCACATGTATTTTGCCGATTCAGCCAAACTCCTGTCCATGATGCCGAAGACCCCGCTCAGAGACCGAAAGCCTCGGCGCAGATGACAAATGCACTGTCCATGATGTGACCATGGTTTAGGGGTTAGCGCTTGCAGAACATCGAGATTTCTGGTTCAGAGCTTAACACCCAGCCGGTGCACCGTTAATCCCGGACTTCAATCGCGAATCCCGCCAACAGGCTCGGTCGGATAAACCGCTGGGCTACCCGCGCCGGGTACCGCCAGGAGCTGTTTCTATTGTGTTTGGGTTTGAACATGTTTTTGAAGCAGTGGACTTGTTGGAAAGCCAGCTACCGACATTTTCGACTACAAAGATGGGAATTACTACTTTCGTAGATGCTGAGGCTGGAGCCTGGTGACACCGCCGTACAGCAACACCATCGCCCCGTAACCTGTCGGGGAAGGGAGCCGGACGGGTAAAGGTCAGGTGTGTCTCCAATTAAGGCCAAGCAAGGTCCGCTACAAAAGAGTGGTGCATCCTCTTTTCTCCACGGCTTGGGCCACCGACATCCGGTTGCTCAGCAACTGACGCTTCAGCAGCACATAACATTGCCATACAACAATTGAGGTTTGGTCCGAGCTGTGTATAATGTAGAGGCCTAAATAATTAACAATACTATTTTGGTGGTTCGTTATTATAAGTATGGTACAGTGGGCCCCAAAACCCTATTCTAATTATTAAGGCCCCTATATTACTTGAGGCAGGTGTGCCTCCGAAGCGTCGTGCAGGCACATAGGGGGGATGGACTTTTAATCAAACTACGGACTCAACCATTTGCCCGGCGCAGTGCGCTCTCCTTTTACGACGGGATGCTACCATCTGCAGTAGACGGCTCGTGTCGTTGCGACGGTTCGGACTTCCCGAACCTGCCTTGAGGCAGGGCTTCTCCGTGAACATGCAGTAGACATCACCAGGTGGGGTGAAGAAGGTGAAGCATGGCTACTTCAGACGATGTCAGCAAACATCGCGAAACTGCAGGAGGGCATGCTGAAGCAGGGCTGTATGGACAACAGCAAAGGCTCCAATTCAGCAGATGGTTGTACGTATCAGTTGTATCCGTTCCTCAGAACCTGACTCCTACCAAAGAAAGCTTTACAAGAGGCTCTTACAGGTCGGCCGCCTCATCCCATGAGCAGCATCTGCTGAAGGAGCCCTTGCCGGATTTAAAGACATATGGGTCCTTTAGACCCTCTGCGTCGATCTGAAAGCTACCTGGCCACCAGGCAAGTCTTCTCAGTCCTCCTTGTGTTTCCTCTTTTCTCCTTTTGATTTCTCCTGCTGCCGCAAAGAAGGTCATCAAAAGTCAGTCTCTTGATGCATGCTGACATGAGACACACACATGCCCTAAACCATGAATCCCTGAACCCTTTAACGTGCATTGCATCCCAACTGCTTCTGACCGAGTCCTTGTCGTGCTTCTCGCTCTTCTTGTCCTTCTTGGACTTCTCAGGCGACCCCTGATTCAGCATCTTAATCTAGGAGCCTTAATTGCTTGAATCGGGTACTGGGGGCCATTATTATGCTGTTATTATATAAAAGGAACCCCCAAAAAATGGTGTTGGAAATTATTGAGGCCCCTACAGCATCTTACGTTCCAGTGAATCTCAGCACATGAGTACAATGGGAGCACATGACATGATGTGAGGCAAGCTTCCTTGCAAAAAGCATGTCTCAAGCCTTCGTCGCTTTCGGCAATTCCCGGTGTGCATGGGGGCAGAGGTAGCATGTGTCCAACTTTCACGTGGCGTTGTGGGTTGAACATGCCCTATCCGACAGCAACAATTATTCTATCAGACTCTATCATCATCTCCAAGCACACAAGCTGCACCCACGGTGGAACCCATCCTTCGCGGAAAGCCTGAGTCATCTGAACGAAAGACATCAACGACCTGCTTCATCTATGGAAGCTTCCCCTGCAGTTGCCACATAGCTTCTTGGGGCCAGATATTTAGCAGGTGGACTCTGGCTCCTTGGTTTCCAGACCCGGCAAGTCCAACGCTCGAAGCAAGGTGCCCGTACTCTTGGTTCTGGGTTCCAGGACTTCATTACAAGGGTGCTGTTTCTCTGGGTTACTCTGGTTTACTCAGGCTTTGCAGTGGGGGTTAACAGGAATACCTTAGGGACTTTCGTAATAATAAGCCCTATAAACCCCTCAACCCTAAACCCTAAGTGATCCCAACAATGTGGTTGTAAAGGTCTCTGGTTCTACGCCTCTTCGGCCTCTCTGGCTCTAAAATAAACCCCTTGAAGTTGGAAACCGGATTAAGGCCAAGTAGTGCTGGGATTCCCTATACATTTCTCTGAAGGATTGGGTTTCCAACTTTTTGGGGCTTCTACCGTATTGGATGCCCAGGTTTTAAGGGTTGGTTCTCCGGTGCGAGTCGGCGTGAAACGGATGCTTACCCAAAGGGTTTTTTTGCAACTCAGGGCTGTAGGGGTTATATAGGAATTTCCGAAAATTAGGGGGACTTTATTTTGGGATCCTTAGAATAAGGATCCTACTACTATTTAGGATACTATATTAGGGTCCCAGAATTTTCGGCAACTCCCATAATTATAAGGCTATCATCTTCTTCCATCTGGTCCGAAGTGCCTAACCTCAAAAGGCTTCCCCATCCTTCCCAGCCTCCTCCTGATTCTCCTCCTTGCCATGGAACTCCTCAGCAACACTGCGGTATTCGGAAAGGGTTTTGAGTCACATTATACTATGCTTGTGATAAGGACACACCAAGAATGGTATAGGTCATTACTCAAGCCCAGATGTTAGGGTTCCAGAGGCATAGCATAAGGCAGGGACTGTTTCCCAAGGTGCTGAGGAAACTCTTAAGGATGTGGGAGTTTCCGGAAATAGGGGACCCTAATATAGTACCCTAAATAGTAGGATCCTTCTTATAAGGACCCCTAAATAAGGTACCCCTAATTTTCGGAAACTCTCATTTCAGTGTTCTTTGACACTCACACTCGGGCAATACCAGGTGAGGTCTCCAGACGACACTACCCATAGGCCCTAAAGTAGTTCCTTTTGGGATTACCTTATAGGATTCTAAATATGAACCCCAAAAAGGAACTACTTTGGGGCCTTAGGGTAGCTTTGGGGTTTGGGGGCTTCCGGGAGGTTCAGGCAGAGGAGAGTAATTATACTGTGGGAGTATAGGGAATTTTTGTGTCGGTGGATGCCCGTGTGGGTCTACGGGAACACTCATAAAAACCAGCTTGCCAGCGGGTATGAGCAGTATGTAAACCAAACTGCCTATGTTCACGTAAGTGTGCATGCATGCGTGGATCGTGCCATGTCTTGCTTTATGCGTATAACAAACAGAAATACATATACACATGCAAATATACACATAGCACAATAATATTACATACACATGCACAATATTACATATGAATATACGTATATCTACATACATACACATACCTAGACATACACTCATACCTACGTACCTGCCTACCTACCTCCCTTCCTACCTACCTAGCTTCCTACTTACTACCTGCAAACATGTGCATGTGGCAGAAAGACCCGTTGTTCAGGTGTGTGTGTGTGTGAAGAGGCACAATCTTCTTACTTCTCCCTACGGATCGCCGAGACCCACCTCGCCAACATGCCTGACGAGCTGTAGCTTGGCATTGAAAAGACCCTGCCGGCCCTAAAAAAAACGAGAACTGTGATTGGCCAATGATGCGGAACAGGCCATACCAAAGACGAGAACTGTGATTGGCCAATGATTCAACAGGACATTGATTTACAAAGGCTCGTGTTGATGCGGAACAGTGCGCTGTCGGTGTTCGGCATGCTCCAAGTCAGCTAAGTCGCAGCTGCCACCTCTTGTGCTTCCTGTGTGTCACCTGGCCGCTTACCCTTTGGGTGAACATGACAAGAAATTATGATGATGCACGGAGCATTGCATTCAGTGTGCCGGCGCGCTTCGGTGGTTGGTCTTCGACCCAACAGAGACTTCTGAATGGGAACTGGCCTTTAGCCTTCTTCGTCACAAGGTCGCAGAGCTCGAAACTCGACGAAACAGAAGGTCCAGCAAGAAAACCAGGTTTTCTCTACGGACGGCCTGGCTCATCGCCTTCCTCTGCAGCCTTTCCAGTGGAGCCGGAGGAGCTCGAGGAGGACCCGGAGGAGGAGGAGGACGAAGATTTCCTGACTTTGCAAGAGCATCGGTTGCTGGCGTGGTTTCGGTCTAATCATCAGGTATAGTATAGACTTCCGGCAATGGGAGTGTGCAAAAGAAAGGGCCCTCATATTGTTGTGTACTTACTCGGAACCATATAATTATTAAAAGGAGTTCTAAACATCCCATTGCCACTGAACGCATGCCACAGCTACTTGCACATCCAACAAGGCCGTCATAATGCACCTTTCTGTTTCCAGCCCAGGCGTCTTCTTTTTCTTCTTTTTCTTGTCCTCAGATAAGACTGGTCGTGCAGGGTTTGACAGAAGGGTCTCATGGATGCCTTCTCGGACAGGCAGGCGGGATGCAACAGTGTAACGGGGCCTTCTTCTTGTCCTTCTTTCGCTTTTTGTCTTTCTTCTTCTTATCTTTCTTCTTCTTTTCCTTCTTCTTGCCCTTCTTCTCTTCCTGCGGTGCCACAGATGAAGATGGCGATGGCGCGGGATGACTACGCGGCGGCGCCTTCTTGAATTCTTTGTTTTGCCTCTCCGCAGCCGCGACAGCATACTTGTCCAGCCGACTGTTCCTCAGGCAGCTGCTTGAAGCTGCTTCCTCTTCCTAGGAAATGAATGAAATCACGAAGCAATCGAGCGCTGCAGGCAAAAGTGACAGTTTTGTTTGCATGGCAGACTGCACGATTTGTCACTGTCCCAATGAATGGCAGGGCTTGAAGGCTGTGAACAGTGATACTGAGAACTGAGATCCCAACACAAACTTTTCCAGCATCATCTCCATGGTGCGGCCCTCAGAAAACCAGGTTTGGCCCTGCACGACTTGGACATCAAAGGCCAAGAGCCCAGCAGCATCGGGCACCAAGGGCACGCGCGCACCGCCGGCCCCCATAGCCTGGCCAAATGTCACATCACTCACAAATTCCAACAAGCACCTTAGAGGTGAAACACACTGGACGGCTCCGGGAGTAAAGGGCATTCAATGATGCCTCGTGCGTGTATATAATTATTGACGAGCCCCGATGGCGCATGACATTTCTACACACAACTTTGTGAGTTCTGCCAATCTACACAGGCCTTGTCTGCAAAGATGCTGAACGTTCCACGGGCTTGTCGCAAATAGCATAATAACGAGCTCCTGCCCAGCCAGTAAATCCTCAATAGAACTTAGCACCTTTCCCTTAAACGCTACCAAGAGGAGCGGCAGGTACGTAGGTACGTGAAGCGGCAGCAAGTTGTCAAACTGCATAGAAGGGACTGTCTGCAACCTTTTCTAACACATCTATCACTTTCCTACAGCAAGATGTGTATGGACCTTGTTGTACAAAGGTGTCTGCACATACCCCAGTAGAACATACTTAAGTACAAACATGCATACATACAGATCTACCTATCTACCTACCTACCCAACCATCATGCGTGTTATTCACCTACTTCTGCAGATCGGCTTCCGCTTTTTGCTTGTGGCTTGCCGTGTGCAGGCTCCGTAGAATACAAGGCTCCCGGGTACACAGGCTGCCTCGCCCAAAGCCTGCGCTTTTTGGGCAGCAGCCTGAGGAGGCGTTGTAACAGACATGGTGATGGTTCGGGGTTCCATCATACCTTAGGCACAGAGCCGTGAAAACGTATAGACATTTGTCGTTGCTGCGCTTGCTGCACTCTTGATGTCTGTGCGAAGTTTTGCATAAACCTGACAGCTTCCTGGGAAGGAGTGACTTCCTTTTACATAGACTTTGAGGCAATGACTTGGAAGTCTCCGATTCTGGCATTAACCACAGAAGATATTCAGGAAACCGTTGCTCACAGAGGGCAGTGCCACTCTTCTTTTGAGTGACAGTATGGCAACGCCAAGAAACCACTCTCAACGAAAAGCCATGCATCCCCTCGCTGCAAGAGTGAGCCGTCAACTACAACGCCAAGGCTGCGCGACTCAATGGCCTGAATCATCTCTACCTGCTGACTCCTTCCAGACACCCCAAGCTTCTAGATTTCATCCACAAGTTCAACCTTCAGGTCTTAGGGCTTACAGCAACTAAGGAAAATCCTCCCCAGAAATCAGACCCGACAACCTCTGAACCCCCCACCTGGGCATTTCCTTGCAAGGACTTCGACATTGCCGCCGAGCCCCCGGACCTTTTTTGGGGAGGGCGGGACGGGACCCGCGAAGCAAGCGTGATGGAGTTCGGGCTTGACGAATCAAAACATGGGCTGAAGCAATGCATCCCGAACCTTTTCTTCGTAGGGCTGTGATTCGGGGTTTTGGAGGTCGCCATGATCACCAATGGTAACGACCCTCCGCATCATGATTTTTCTCGTTTAGTCATATCATCATTGCTGTTGCGATCATTAACAACAGCATCCTCACCACTACCCACAAGGTAACTCGCCTTGCATCTCCGGAAAGCTCCCAGAGCTGTGGTGCTGCAACTTCACCCTGGAAGCTACTGTACTTTTCGTGGAAGCCTCATGAGGACTCACCTGCTGACAGCAGTATTGTTTCACCAAAGCTTTGAATTTGTTACGAGCATCTCGCCTTCCTCTCAAACCTACCTTCATGAATGCAAGGCTGCCCGGGGGACTCTCTTGGCTTTTGAGTCGGCCTGCCGGCGGTATAGGCATGCCCCAGGCCTAGAACTGTATAGCCTACTCTGCTATACTGCGCCGTGGCGAAAGCCCTCTCGCTCAACACGGCCCCTTAAAATTCTTGAGTACTATTAGATATATTCGTATTAGTGTCATCAGCGGTATTATTGGTGCTATACGTATTCTTTTTGCCTCTAGCACCAATAATACCACTAATGACACTAATACGAACATATCTAAGAATACTCAAGCAATACGGAGCATAAGTAATACTGGTCCCAAAAAGTTGCTTGAGTATTAATTGTTAGGTATATTCGTATTACAGTAATAATAACAATAACAATAATAATCAAAAATAATAATATACAATATACTGGTATTTTGATATTCTATGTTGCATCGGAGATTGGCTCCCTCCTCCCAGGCTCAACTGTAACTGGGACCCGGGCGCAAGGCCCATGGTCTCGAATCGGCTTCGGTAGTCATCCTTGATACGGTGGCGAGGCTAGGAAATGAGAGACAGGGCTAATGTAGGGGCCTGAAAAAAATAGAAAAGGGAGTTGGGGGTATTACTATACTAGAATTAAAGTAAGGAGCCCCCAAAACCCTACTCTAATTATGAAGGCCCGCGCCCCGAGTGACACTACTCCAGACTTGAATCTTAGAGAATCGGGTTCGGCTGGCGTCCGTTTATCCACGGGGATGTGATAGGACGCCTGCGGCAAACGAGCAAATCTGGCCCCTGGAACCTTACACCCCTCTGAAACCCCAAAGGCATGAAGCACCAAGCACCAAGGCCAAAACCCCAAAAGCAATCTTTAAAGCCTAAGCCGAGGTTCCATGTTGTTCGGCTTCGTGCCAATCATGCGCTTTGGCCTGAGCCAGTCTCTCACCCTCACCGAAGCCACCAAGACGCAGCCCACCTCCCTGGTGCTCAGTAGGGAATGGGGGCATGGATCCTGTTGTATTCTCTATATAATCCCCAATAATCGCCCCCATAACCCATTCGGAATGGATCCCTACAGTAGTCCCCATAATAATCCGCAAGAATAGTCCCCACAACCCACAAAAAGTCCCCATAACCCATTCGGAATGGATCCCTGTAGTAGTCCCTATATAATCCGCAGGAATAGTCCCCATAACCCCGTCCCCCCCAAACAGAGTCCAGAACATCTGAGGCCCACGCATGCCACCGGATTCGAAGCCGACTGTGTTCATCCTGCTTGGGTGAGGATTTAGGTTTTTTGATTTTTTTAAGTGCCTCTTTTCCGACTCGCGGATTTAGGGTTTAGGGTTTGAGGCGTCCTGGCTCGAGGCAAGGTAGCGGCTAGCTTCTCCAATTTGGAATTTTCTAGTGCGCTCTTGCCATTCCGGACCCCAGCAGTTTCTGCGCTTGGTGCTGCCCGTGGGTGGGCTCACCGGGGCTTGGTACGCCCCTTTTCTTTGGGTCACTGCCGTTCAATTGGCTGACCTATTTCTGGAGGCGCTCTCCAGAGTGGTGGCTGGCCACTGGCCAAGCTTTGGGTTGCTGCCTTAACTGAGCCAACCCTCAGGCCGCGCGGCCTTTTATGACTGCCCTGGCGAGGTACCTCCCGATTCTACCGCTTTTATTGCTGGGATTGGGGCTGCTTTGGCTTGGGCACGACAACGGCGCGGAGACGCCCACGCAGTCCCGCTTGGCATCGGCGTCAACGGCGGGCAAGGCACAAGGCCAGGAAGGCCGTGAGAAAAGGGCGCTCCTCAGCGGCGCAGCTGCTCTTGCTTGCGACCCACCACGGGAGCATGGCTCCCAAACAAGGAGGTGCTGGCAGCCAGTCATCGCAGAAGGGCGGCCCAGGAAAGGGCAAAGAGAAAGCGGACAATCCGCAGGTTACAAAGATCGAATTTGGACTGCCCCCCTCGATGGTTCAATCCTTACAATCGATCGCGACCAGGGCTACACAGGACTTGTGGAGCCAGACAGCCTTTACTGCCGAGAATGCCACCGTCGAACAGCTAGCCCAGCGGAGTGCAAACGCCCTGGGCCGACTGTCGAGGCGGTTGAACGGCAATGTCCGCGCCAAGAAGGACCTTCAGGATGCGCTGCTGGCATGGCTGTCTACAATGGGACAGCATCTTTTGGGCCTTGCCCACCGTGTAGATGCTCTCAGCCGGAAAGTGGACGAGGATACGGTCGCTGCAGTGGAGGAAATGCGCCAAGTCATGGCGGCGCAACCCTCTGTGACCACGGAGGAGCAGCTCGACCGTGCGATCCAGTCTCTGGGGCCAGTGTGGTCCGAGGGCCAAGTGGTGGAGGTTCAGCGTTTGGCAGCAGCTCTTCGAGCCTTCTCCACGACCCTGGCCATGCCTTCGGGGACTCACGGTCCAGTGCCAGGGCTTGCAAGTGTGCACAGAGGCGGCCCCTTTCTCGGGATGCAAGCTGCAGCAGGACCATCTTCGGATGTTCCTATGTTTTCTGGCTCTCAGCAGCCCGCTGGAGACCACGCTGCCGACCACAGCTCGGAGATGAGCTTTGGGCCCTTGGGCAACACATCCAGCCAAGCCCCTTCTGGAATGGACGGTCAGCGAAGTGGCCGATGGCGGAAACGCAGCGGAGGCAATGTCGACCGGCCCTCCAAAAGCCCTCGTCGGGACCTGGAGGGTGCACCGTGGCCTGGAGAAGCCACAGGACGTACCCCCGAAGGCCTCAAGCGCGATGCCCAGACTGCTGTTGCCGACGACGACCCAGAATTACTGCCGGCCACTGCAACAGAAAGTGCCTGGGTTGTGTCATGGCTGGCTCTCCTTCGCTTCGCTGTGGACAGTGGAGCCGACTTGGTGGGCGAAGTCAGCTGCTGCCCCCAGCAAGACAAGGCCATGCAGCTCACTCTGGATGCTCAAGCGCAGGATGTGGTTCTACGCACTGCCGAATCGGTCTGGACTGCGTTGGGCAATGCTGTGGCGGACCCGGCTCATGCCGACCTGCAATCGCTTTTTCTATCTCTGCAGGGATTTCTACACAGTGCACGGGGATGCGCCAATGCTCTGCCACAGGTTCGTCAGGGACTGCTGGTGGCTGCGCTCCTGTCCAATGGGAACCTCAGGGACCCGTTTGCATATGCCCCCTCTACCGCTCAGGAATGGTTGTTTCCGGACCTTCTCCTGGAAGCGGGGGTGCCATTGCGCGGGTTTGTGGCAAAGGATGCTTCAATGGATGCACACGTACAAGTTTTGCTGCGCATGCCTTCGCCTATGAGGCCAGTTGGACCAGACACCTGCCAGAACGAACTCGAGTGACCTCTGATGATGTCGAGCAGCATCGGCTTTCCGGCACAGCTGTCCCAGCGGGCTGTGGTAATAGAGACTTCGTTTGGTCGCAAGTTTCTCTTACCACGGTCTGCCTTTTCCTCGGGCGCTGTGTGCTACTGTGTATAGCCCTGCGTAGAGTCAGTGTAGTCACGTCGCTTTTTCTTTCGGCCTACGGTCCCAAGCTTTCTTGGTTTCGGGCGTGGCAGCTTGGCAGTACCTGTTCCGCTTCTGCGTGGTGGGTCGCGGCCTCCTTCTGCCAGCCCTTCCCTATGGCACTCTGTGCGGTTACTAGTGAGCTTTTGGCCCTCCACCCTGCTCTGGTCCGCACTTTCCGCTGTGTCTTGGCGTGGCTTCCTTGCAGTTGGTGCTCATACCTTGCCGTGCAGGCCGCCTTCCTGAGGCACTGTGGCCCTACTTGGGCACACAGACACTGGCAGCATTGCTCTTCATCTGCTGCGGCCTTGATTTGGGCCTGCCTTTCCCTTACGTCCTCCTCATGGGAACATGACCATGCTTTGTGTTCGGTTTCCCGACTTGCTGGTCGTAAAGTTCAAGGATCACGTTACTGCGTTAAGGCTCGTCCTCAGAGGCATGCAGCCCCAGGCCTGCACGTCACGCTGCTGCTGCTGTACTTCTCAGTTGCTGATGGGGCTACTCTCAACCTTGGGGCCGCGGTTGTCTCTTCTTGCTTCATGCATTCCCCTGAAGCTGTGCAGCTCCATGCCCACGGATTTCACGAAGGCCTGCCCGTTCTCAGTACCGGACCTGTCCTCCCCACACCGACCGTGGAGGAGATGTGCGAGGTCTATCCGGTTGGGCGTACGGGGAATCTACTTCTTCCACGCACAGATCGGAACCGAAGGCATCTTTCTGTCTTTGTGGGTACGCCTCCCGGCGCTCCGATCCTGGAACCGTGTCCCATCCCTCTCCTGGTTGATGAATGGCTGCATGGTCCTCTTCTTCACGCTAGGTTGGCAGCTTCGCTGGGCTTTCCCTCTGGGGTGTTCTCTGCCTCTGCTGTCCGGGGTGTCCTCCCAGGACTGCCAGGTGAGCAAATTCTTCTGACCCCCGCTGCCTGCTCCTGGCGACAAGTGTGGCTGCCTGTGGATCTGCGTCAAATCGGAGGCCGTATCTGTATGCTTCAGTGCCCTCGTGACTCTACTTGCAGAGCCATTGCCCAACTTGCCCTTTCCGCCCAATCCTTGCAAACTGAGGTCGACCTTCTCCTTGCTCGATGCCCGTGGGGCTGGTTGACTCTTGTGTCCCAGCCCCTTTTCTTGCAAGATGTTGACACTCTGCAATTCCAGCTCGGGCCGTCTACGGGAGCGCTGGAAGGGCCTATAGGTGCCTCACTTGACCCTCCACTGTCACTGTTTTCGACCATGCAGGTCAGTTTGCCCTCTGCTCCACTCAATCAAGAGGCTTTCCCAGGTCACTCACACAACCAGGCCATCCTCATCACCCCGAATGGCCTGGTCTATGTCGAAGCCCCGGTCTTTGCGGACGCAGCCACATTTAGGCGCATCGTCTCGACTCGGGCCTCAGCCAGTGCCACTGGAGGAATCATGCGCATTTGGCATCCTCTCCCTTCCCTGCCACTTGTCCAGTTTCTGGAAATCCACTGCGTGGGCGACGAAGTGCCGTGCATTTTGGATTTCCGGCCTGTGGGGTGGCGTCTTACTACGGTGTGTCTTACCCCGCCAGTCACCGCTGTCGCGGCTGTTTCAGCTGCCTCGACCCGGGAACGTAATAGCCTCCCCCTTGAATGGGTCGAACAATGTGCTAGAGGGGGTTTTGGTCTGCTGCACAGGGAGTTGGCAGTTCTTCCTGATCAGGTTATTTCGGGGAGTTTTCCTCTTGTCATCATGTTCTTCCCACATGTGTTCCGTCAGGACTCCTCCTCTTCGTCGGAGGAGCAGGTTGGAGGCTGGGATGGCCAGGATACGTCAGACACCATTTCGGCGCTTCAGCATACCCTGCTGCCTTCACCTGCCCGCGCTGCCACACTTCCAGCATGCACGGGGATTTCGCCTGAAGCTTTCCTGGCTCCCTCAGGTTTAAGCCCCCCAGAGCCGGCTGCCGAGCCCAGCTCCGCCGGGTCAGCTGTGGTGTCTTCCGCTACGTGGATGCAGCACATCCTGATCGGCCTCTGGCTCACTCATGACCTTCCGCTCGGCCGCGGGGCACTTTCTGTGTGGAGTTTAACTCCCCTACTCCTGTTAGTGTGGTCTAGTACCGCTGTTCAGACCCGTAGTGAGCCCTCTTCCCCTCATGCCTTTGTCGTTGCAGCCTCCAGAGCCCCCGACCGTCATGTTGTTGCCCCCGCGGGGGTCCACGCACATCTCCAGGCCTCTTGGCTTCAAGTTGGGGACTTCGGTGATGGGACGCTGTGGCAGACGATCCCGCTCTCAGGGGTTAGCTTTTCTATCACTTGCCGGTTGTGGGTCCCGGGCTCCTTTGTTCGCCTTGAGTTCGCCAACACTGCTAGTGCCAGAGAGTCCTCTGCGGAACTCTACCGCCGAGCTATCCAGCTCGGCCGCCCCCACATCGTTGCTGCATCTGCGGGACCTACACTTGATGCGGTCCACTTAGTCACCTTGCCACCTAGGAGCTCTACGTTGACCGTGCTTTTTGATGTTGGGGTTGAGATCGTATGCGTTGAGCTTCCCCTTGATTATTCTGCCGAACAGGTCCTGGCAGCCGCGCAAGGTGCAGCAGATTCGACCGACATTCAAATCCTTAAGGGTTCGGCCCATAGGCTTAGACAGGGCGATGTTGTTAAGGTTGTGGTTAATTCCGCTGCCCAAACTTTTGATGTCTCGGCCTTCACTCTGCCACATAGTGCCCCTTCTGCGTCCCGATGGTTGCATGAGACGCGTGTCGTCTCCCTGCTTCACTCAGGAGAAGGCGTCCTCTCCTTTGAGGTGCCTCGTGCGGCTGAGGTCGATTCCGCCCTTCTTCATGCCCTCCTGCGGCAGGTCCTGCCTGGGAAGCACATTTTCATCGAGATTCCCGATACCGGGGCCCTTCCCCATGCCACGTTTGCTGCAGTGAGTTCGGGGCAAGACTGCATCATTTATCGTCTTACTGACGCCTCTGTCCCGACGGCCCCGGGGCTCTTTCTTGCATTTTCTGGAGTATTTGACTCCTTTTCTGCCTTCTTGGAGAGTCTCCTCAGCAGTGGGCGGCCCGCCGCCGGGCTCCTCCGCAGCCTGCGCACCTTTGGTCTCTCTGTGCTCACCTGGGAATGCACCACCATCCCTACCCGTGACGACTGCCACTTCTGGTATGTCCATGTGCAAGCCGACTTCGCGCGGGCGCGGCGCCACGCTGTGCATTTCTTTGGGCACCCCCCGCGCCATTCGGCAACCTTCTGTGCTGCCCCCGCCTCGGGCGAGAGCTGTTACACATGTGGGTGTTCAAACCAATGCCCCCTTTATCACGGCTAGCACCCAGGCCGCTGTGTTGCAATCACCCCCGTCCTCATGTGGGGCAGGAGTTGTGCCAGATTCCGCGTCTGAGCTTGTTAGCCTGTGGTGTGATTCTTGGCACATTAAATGTATCGTAGCCTGCATTCCAGGTTTCACTGTCTGGGCACTGAGGGAAGGCGGCCGCCTTGTTGGAATGTGCACTCCTGTCCCGACTTGGGAAGCTGTTACTCGAGCACTTTCCCTCTCTCTTTGGGAACTTCCCCAGACCTTCCTCTCTGATAACAATCAGGTCTGGCCGTACCCTCGGGATCTTGCGGACGTCACCAAGAAGTGCGTTAGTGTAGGATATGATTCGCCCGAGGGCGTTTCGCAACTGCTGCGTCACTGCACAGCACCTTCCCCCAGCCCACCGCCCTCTCCCCCTGCCTCTCATTCCGCTGCACTTGGCTTAGCTTGTCTTAGTAAGGGTAAGCCTTGGCTGGGGTTTCTTCTCTTCGCTATGCAAGCGGGATCTGTGCAGCTCGCGATCACGTCAACTGCCCTCACTTCGCGAGTGGGAGCCGATGATCCTCTGCTTCCTCGGCGAGACTATACGCGGACCTGCACCCTCTCCTGGACTCATGAGCTAGGGCGTCAGACTTATGGCTTTGCGGTTGCCGCCCCTCAACTCGGCGCCTATGTGGAATGCACCTCGCCGTGGCCTGAGGTCCAAATCCATTTGTGGTTGCCAGGCCAAGGTCCGGTTCACATGCGAGTCGGTGCCCGCCACATGGACATGCACCTCAGCGCCTACTTGGGTGCTTTCCTGCCCGATTGCGAATACGGTCTTCATGTTGCGTACGACTCCAACCCTCAGGTCCTAGACCTGGTCGTCGCGCCTCCTTCTCCTGTGGCGTGGTGGATCCTGAGGGACTCTATTGGGTGCGAGTTGCTTCGGCCGGTCATCCAGCACTATACTTCGCACTGCTCCTTTTTCTTCTGCACAGTCGAGCCCGACGGTGTTGTTCTTAGTGTTGAGCCCTCAGCCGAAGTCCGACAAATGTCTCCGAGCCCGCATGGGGCTAGAGCTTTGATCTCGCGTGCCCTGCCCGGCCTCATTGGTCAGGTGATCGATGGCACGCTGCTGATTGCTGCAGCTAAAGCAGGACCTTTGGTTCTTGGTCACCTTGCAATGCTCTTGTTAACTTTTCATGCGGCTGCGATGCAACCACCGCAGGCGCAGCAACTAGTACCGGTTGCTGAGGTTGCTCCCACACCGTCCACCATGCGCATCTGGACCTTAAATGTGCCGCAGCCAGTCGACCTGCCTTGGCGTCCCCAAGGGTATCAGACCCGGTGGCTCCGTGAGTTGATGTGCCGTCTCCACCATATTCCGGATCCGGGGGAGTTCCGCTCCACTCACTCCCAGCAAGGGGGTACTGTTCAGCACGTTCTCTTTGTGCCTGTCGTACCTCCAACCCTTCCTACGGCCAGGTTCTGGCTCCTCCATTGGGGCGCCGCGGCGGTCGTTACCTTCGGTCACTCGCCCTTCAATTGGGAGGTTGTCTATGCTCACCTCCGCACTCTGTTTCAAGGTGGCCAATTGCCGGAGCGGTGCCCCACACTTGCTTATGCTGGCCAGTTCTATGCCCCTGGCACGGTTTTGCCGGACTTCCCCTCGGGTGCTATTATCCAGATTTTAGTCGGGGCCCTGGAGCGGCTACCTGGTGACGATGACCCCTGGAACCCGGAGCCTTTCGTTGTTGAAAGTCCTTACTTTCGTCACATTCCCAGTCGAGGCCCTGCGCTTGAACCGGCCATTGTTCTGGATGGTCATGGCAACAGGTTGGCTGCCGGAGCTCTGCAATCCCCTCTGGTCGATCAAGGTGTTCAAACCGACCTTTCCGGAAATGGCACTGGCCTTGATCATGCCACTGTCTCCAGGGTGCATCACCTCTCCCAGTAGCTCTCGTTCCACACTGCTCGGCTCTGGGCCGGCCTCGCCGAGCCTGATGCCGAGCCGGCAGGCGACAATCCACCTGTCTTGAGACTCTCCTCCCAGAGTGCATGCGCGGCTGATACCTCTACGGCTGATCTTTTGGATCTCTGTGATGCAGCAGGTTCTCAGGCTGTGTGCAGACTGCCGTGGGCAGCTTTGCTTCTTCTTGGCGTTCAGGTGCCTCGCGCCCTTGGGGCGGTTGGGAGTCTTCTTGTTCTTGCTACCCTCAACTCGGGGTCCATCATTACACCACCGCAGGCTAGCTCCGAGGAAGAGCAGGTTAATGATACTGCCCCTCCGGCTGTGCAGGCCACTAATATGTCAGCGGCGGACTGGGCCCCCGCACCCGTTGTGCGACCAGCCGGCCCTCCCCCGCCAGAGCCGGTGAATGCTCCCTTCCAACCTCACATGATGTTTCTTCGCGCGGCGAGGCCACTTGAGGATTATGCCTTGAGACAATGGCCCTCCACGGTAGATAGGGAACCTGCAGCCGATGAAGATACGGTGCGGAGGGTCCAGGCTGACCTCCAAGGCCTTCGATGCGGGATCCGAACACTGGCAGCCGCGATCCCACTCGGCACGCCCTTTTGCATCCATAACCCGTTTACCGCACGGCAGCAGTGTGAGTTGGTCGAGTATTCAGCGGGCCCCGAAATTAACCCCTTCGTCCTCTTCGAGGGTCATGCTAGAGGCCGCGGCTGGGCAGGTCTGGTGCTCCTCCAGCCCCAGCCCGATGCCAGGGCAGTTCATCTCATTGGCTGTCCTCAGGCGGCCGGTAACGTAGCTGTAGGGGTCGCTATTGAGCACCGCTTAATTCCCTGCTGCCTCCCCGCGACTGTTGATATCGCTGCCCTCAGGGCCCTGCGCTTGGATGGCACTGAATATGACCTTCGGCCGCCTGAGGTCCAGGAAGGCACACAGGTTGTCCAGTTTAGGAACGGCGATTGCCTCTCAGCTAGGCGGCATGTTCCCCGTCGGTCCCACCAAGGCCAAGCTAGCAGGGATCCTGCTGCTGCTAGAAGAACGGTGAGTGCGGGCGAGCGCGATGCCAGCCCTGCTGACGAATCCGCAGCCATAGCTGCCTCACCATCTCTCTGGGCCTCTCTTTTACTCGTGCAGGTCCTTCGCAGCCGCCCTGGCTCTACCTGGCTTGTTGCTGCCATTCTACCCAGCCTGGTCCAGAGTATGCACAGACCTGGAGGCTTCCCATGGGGGACCGACTCGGCGAACCGTGTATTCTCAGGGATAACTGCCGAGGATCCAGTCTATGTAGTCCTGCATAGTCCCTTCTTAGGGGTTTTCCCTCCCTACACGGCATCTCAGGAGACCCCCCACTCGCAAGTCTGGGCGCAGTTCCGCAATGATGACCCGGGTTGGGCGGAAGACTTCTTCCCCGTTTGGCCGGGGCCGGCATTCAATGAACTTTCTATCGTCCCAATTGGACGTGATCCAGCTTTGGTCACTTTGATGCTTATCTGGCGGGGCCACCACCGGGCCACACTTGTTCCCCGCACGATGACCGTGGACTGGATTACGTCCTTCACGGCCAGACATATCAATAGTGCTGTCGGGGGTGTGTCTCTTCCCCACGGGCTTGCCGTCTGCGAACTTTTTGATGTGCCACCTGCCGCGTTTAGGTTCCGCAACGGGGACGTCGTGTATGTACATGATCCACCAGATGACCCCGATGAGCCACTTGAACTAGTGGAGCCCTGGCATCTACAGGATGGTCTGGCTGCACATCACGCCCCCTGGGCGGTCGGATTTCAGCTCATGTTCCCGATTTCAGTCCATTTGCTGCGACCTGAAAAACCGCCCTTGCTCACCACTATACCGGCCGGCGAATCTTGGTGCCCTGAAGCGTTCTCCTTTTCCGGCGAGTTCCAGCACCATTTCCCGGGCATGTGGACACCTGTCCAATGGACGAGTGCCCGTGCCCTGCAGCTTATTGAGGTCAACGGGGTCGCTGCTCGAGTCAATGTTGTCGCGGCCACGCCAGAGGGTCGACTATGCCGTACTGTCGACCGCATTGCCTCTCGGCACAGCGTTGCTGACCAGCTCCACTTCTGTCCAGATTCGATACAAGTTGGCGGAGTGCCTGCGTATGCCTTGGACCAGGCCTGCGAACTCAGGAACGGTGATGTGGTGTTTGGGGCATTCGATCGGAGTGCATGCCCTCGTAGCCCAGGCTCCCCGAGCTGGTGGCTCGGTGTGACCCTCACCACCTTGCATCTGAGCCAGCAGCGGCAGACGCGTCTGCCTCTTCTTGTGGGTTATACCCTTTCATACCACGCTGGTCTTAGCGACCCATATGCCATCACTCCCTTTCATGCGCCTCACACTGCCGCTGCACCTAGCTGCCAGTCGCTAATCGGAGGGTCCTCCTGCTCTGCTGACGAGGACCCTCCCTGGAGTGGCATGGCCCTGGGCTGCGCCTCATCTGCCATAGGTGGCCCACAGTCTTGGTGGCGGGGCTCTCTTTGCTGCCCCATCCTTCCTGGTGTCTCGGCCGCCCTCCTGTTTCCCGGCCTACGCGGCATTGCCCTTCTGGCGGCCTCCGCGTGTATCCCTGCTTCTCAGGCCATGCTTCAACAAGCGTCCGCCTCGTCAGCCACTGTCCCGGCTGCTGCAGCTCCTCGCGTCACTGTTACGGTTGCTAACCCTTTTGCCCCTTGGAATCGGGTCGAAGCCGACCCGCGCCACCTCTTTGACGATGTCGTCGCTGATGCGCATCACACTTTAGCATCTTGGCATCAGGGTTTTGCAGCTACGGGACTTGTGCTGGACAGCACCCAGGTTGTTGTTCCCTTGCCCGGGCGTCGCTTGGTCTGCTTGTTGGTGCAAGGCATGGGTCAGCTGTTGTGCGTTATTCTGCCAGCCTTCATGACCCCGCGGGATCTCACGCAAGCCATTCAAATGCGACTTGGCAAACGAGTCAGCGTCAGCCTGCTACCTGGACTGGCGGCTACTGTCCGTGCCAGCCGTCCGGTCCTTGCTCTGAGATCTGGGGATATTATTGCTATCAGCCCACTTCAGCTTGACCCACTTGCCGGGCCGCGGAACCCACCTGTCTTTCTAACATGGGGGGCTGCTCATGCTGCGGCCGCGTGGCGCTCAGACTTTCTCGTTGCTCAGGCCTCCTGTGTTCTGCTGTGGTCGCCTGGCCGCCCTACGCGAGTCGCTCTTTTAAGGCATCAAGCCCGATGGATTGCAGCTGCCGCCACGGTACATCACCATGAACAAGAGCTAGGAACCCACCGCTGGGCGCCTTGCCATGGTCACCTCGGCGCCCCACCTTGGCTCGTTGAACAGTCTGAGGTGGCAGGCCGCGCTAATATTATCCAGTCCTGCGACTCCACTCGTTGCATTGAAGTGGAGCGCGATGCCCATGACCTTCACATCTCAGGTTATACTGTTCGTCCTGCCTCAAGTCACGCCTGTCGCACTGCCACTGTGCGCGATGGCGACTGGTGGGTCCACTCAGCGGCCGTTGGGCTGCTTGGGCGCCATCTCTCCTTCCCAGCACAGCTCGCCTGGCTTCTATACAGCCTTGCCGCCCATGCCTGGGCTGGTTCTTCGAGCTGCCCAAGTGTTGACTCCTCCGAGGCAAGAACCATCCGCACCCGCCGGCGACCCAGCCGTAGTCGTTCACCGGGTTCACAGTGGCCGGGACGGTTTTTCCCTCCTCGAGTTGACTTTAATGATGGGGAGCCCTACGTTCCGCAGAGTGGCTGGCAGCCTGACGCCCCAGACGGCCCACTCGCACGCTGCTTCCCGGGGCCTCGGCCGCAGACTGCCAGAGTCCTCTGCCCCCTGCGGGGCTGGAGCGAGCTCTTGTTTATTAACCTGGCAGGCACCTGGCGGGAAGTGGAGCATGAAGGTGCTCGGCACTGCGGTCTCTGGTCGCGCAGGTTCTTTCCGGTGCGTGCTGTGCTTCCCGTCTCGCAGCTCACTCTTGCTCCAGTGGCCCCATATGGCCTCGTTACAGTTGTCTTTCACATGGAAAGTTGCTCAGCCGTGGCTCTGGCGTCTGTTGACTCCAGTTTGGTTGACCTTCAGCGGCTCGCCGCTCGTGTGTTCACGCATGCTCGCTACTGGCGAGTGGTTGCGCCGCCTGTGTTACGCGCGGCCAACCCGCACACTCATCTACGGTTGCGTAACGGCGACGCCTTTAGTCTTGTTCCTGAACAATCTCAGCCAGAGGCCACCCGCTTCCCACTGCTGCAGTACCCCTCCCTCGAGCGGGCCCGACAGGTTGCCAGCTGGTCTCTTCCTTTTCGGTTTGACTCTGGTGGGCTCGTAGTTCTCTGGTATTCTAATCGCCGGCATGGGCACTACATTAGGATTAGGGATACGGGCTACTGGGACCCTGAAGGTCCCACCTTTTGGAGCCTTAACGGGGAGGCTTTGTCAGGTTCATGGGTCCCGGTCCTTACGGGTGACTTGTCGAGTCTTCACCTGGTGCATCAAGCTTCCGTTGGTGAGGCGCACGTTCTCTTCCTTCTGCCGCCGGACCTCATGCCACAGGGCCGGCGGCTCGCGGGCTGCAATGCTTATCGTGCCCCTCCTGGGTGGCGACTTCTGCCAGCTCTGCAATATGTTCGCGCGGACAGCCCTCTTCGAGACGGCGATGTGCTAGTCATTGACCCAGACGCCAGCGTGGTCTGGGACCCCTTCGGTCCACTTCCCTCTGCGGCCGTAGAGGAGTCTCATTCTGATTGGCCCTCCTGCTCGTCACCTTCTGAGATACGAGGGGCCGGTTGGCTTGCCTTTCTTGCTGTCGCTGCTCGATGGCCCCGTTGGCTTACTCTCGCTCTCCTTTCTCATTACGTGTGTGGCATGGTCCCGGTCCTGGAGGTGCCGGATAGGCCCATTCGCACAGGCCTGTACCCATGGCGAGCCAAGCCCGGCGAGGAAGACCTTGTCGACCTCTCTCCTGGCACTGAGATTGATGTTGTGTATCTCAGCCCTTTCACTGGTCCGCGGGAAGCTGGACGTCTCCCCACTGTGTCCACACTTGAGGATCTGAGCTCGCTTGCGCGGGCGTGCGATCCTGAATGGGCTGCTGATGTTGCGCCGGTGTGGCCCACAGCGGCCATCCCTGCCCTGCTTGTTGTGCCCAGGCCCCTCTCTCTCGATATGGTGTGTCTCGCCATATCGTCCTTGGATCAACACTTTTCCATCCTGACTCCATGTGTTACTTCAGTGTCATGGCTCAGTTTTGCTCTTCGTTTTCTGCAGCCTATGCAGACCCTGTCCGTGCGAGCTCCCAGCCCTCTCACTGCTGAGGCCACCACGGATCAAAATGTTAGATGGCGCTCAGGGGACCTCGTTGTCGCTCTTCCGCCCGCCGCCTTTGTGCCTGAGTATCAACCGCCCTGCTTCCACTCTGACACTCAAGTTCGTCATTGCGCCATATGGTCGGTTGATTTTTCAGTTTCCTTTCGCGCGAACTTCGTCCTGTGGCAACCGGGCGTCAGGGCCGTTCGGGGACATGCCCCCGCAGGAGCTCGCTGGCAGGCACTCGACTTCACCTTCGAAGGGGAATTCAGCCAACATTACCCCGGTCGCTGGGTGCCCGTCCCCTGGATTGCCCAGGACCACACGCATCTCGTCCTGCTTCCTGAGGACCCATCCCGTGCCAATGTGGTGGTGGAAGCGGATGGTCAATGCTGGTGCGCCTCCATCACTGCTGTCACAGATGCGTGGCAACTGTGGACTGAACTGCCGACTGTCTCCGGTCAACCTCGGGTCCTCGGCGTTTCTCATCGCGAGCTTAGGCAGGGAACTACCCTACGTAGCGGCGATGTGGTGTCCGAGGCCTCCGGACGCTTTACACCTTGGGCCGTTTTCAGTTTGATCGGGGTGTCTGGGTGGCGTACTGCCGGGCCTAGCGTGGTTCTCCTAGCTATTGGACTTGCCTGGGGGCACTCTGTCGGGGCTACTCGCTACACTGGCGCTGCCCCGAGCTCCTCTCTGGACCGGCACGCAGAGGGCCCTCTCTTGCCAGACTGTTTCCCTACTTGCCATCGGCTGTGGGATCCTGCTTGTGGGGTCCTTGGACCCTTCCGTGGTACCTCCTTGGAGCCTCCCGTCGCTCTTCGAGATGCTGCTCCCGCATGGTCATCCTTTACCCGGGTTCACCCTCCACAGGACCCTCGCCTTGTTGACTGGGTTCCGGTGCCCTCTGACCCGATGTTTGCCACCGTCCTTCTCCAGTGCCCCCCGGCCACCCGGGCTGCTTTCCTTCCAGCTACGTGCGCCGCTGCGGATTTGCTCCGAGCCTACAATCGAATTGTCCGGGACCTGTCTCTCATCTTGGCACCCCCCGAAATTTGGTGTGGGACGGCTACCTCACCGAACCCAACTCTTTTCCTCCGGTCCGGCGACGTTCTCACGCTCGCTGGAGAGACCTGGGCTCCTCGCCTTCGCTCGCCGGCCGGGCGTTACTGGGACACGCTGCTGCAGGCGCGTCACTTCGCCTTCTGGGGAAGCCCTTTCAGCATACGCCAACCTGGGCTCCTGTTTGCCTGGTCACCTGGTGACCCGGTCCCACTCACTGTACCCACGGTTCGCGACGAACAATGGGACCCCGTGCACTGCACATTCCGGCCCTCCCTTGCCTGCTTCAGTGTCACTCGATGGATTCCTGCACAGCGGCTTGATGACCTTGGTCTTCACCTTGTCTCTGAGAGCCCGAACCTGCACCGTGCGCATGTTCTTCCCGCACAGCCTCCCCTGCACGTCCAGGTCGTTTCGCGACAAGGGTCGAGTGGCCTGCTGCGTGACGGAGACAGCCTCTCTGGCTGTCGACCAACCCCGTCCCTTCTCCTTCCCCACCTTTTAGTTGGGGGTCTGCTCCCGAGTACTCTCCGGCGGCTTTGGCTTGCGGCCCTTGGTCTCGGGCTCCTGGCAAGCTACGGCCCGCCAGCCTTCCCAGCTCATCTGCTCTTTCCCCGTGCAGGGGCCCTTTCAGGGAACTGCCTAGCTCCCGCGTTGGATTTTGGCCTCCTGTTCCGTACCAGCTGCTATCTCCGCGCTCGGGGCGCGCCTGTTTGGAGCAGCACTGATGGAATCTCGTGGTCGGCTGATGTTCATGAGGAATGCGTCGCCCAGGCTTCCATACACCAACTCTGGTGGTCTCATGAGCTTTACCCGTTTCTTCCCGCATCCGCCCCTCCATCATACCGTCAGGCTTTCTGCAACTTCCCGCTCTGGCACGGGGGAGTGCCTGACCAGGTCTTCATTGCCACTGACGGCAGCGGCGAGCATGGAGGGGCTTGGGCCTTCTGTGTGTGGGCTTGGTGGCGCCATCGATGGTACCGCGTCGGTTGGTTTGGGGCCTCTGGCTATCAGCTCCCCTGGACCCCTGACCTGCCGCCCTCGGCAGGCGGCCTCTCCTTCCACACTGAACTCGCGGCCTTACAGGCTGCCGGACTCTGGCTTATTGCCTGGGTTGACCGCCTGTCCCTTCTCACAGCCTCTGCCCCTACCAAGGTTACTGTTGCGGTCGATAACGCTGCGGCACTTCAAATCGCAGCAGGGCAGGCCCAAGCCGCAGCACCTGCCACCACCACCACTCGGTATGTTTGGCAGGCCGTTCAAGCTCGGCTCTCCACACGGTTCCAGCATGTCCATAGCCACGTCGGAGTGCTCCCAAACACCTTCGCGGACTTCCTTGCCGGCTGGTCGGGTCGAGTCTCCTGGCAACCGTGGAAGCAGCTTGACCCTTTGCTACCCTCCCTCATGCAAAACGCGGCTCCGTGGCTCTGGGTCATCCCACATGCTCGTGTCGTAAAGGGTCGGCCGTGCATTTGTTTGGTCTCGCAGACCATCTCATGTGCCCGCTACTGAGGCTGGTGACGTGCTCCCTCCTGCCGAGGATACCTTGACATCCACTGAGGCCGCTGCTCCACCGGGTCGTCCACTTGCCGATTCTCCCATCCCTTTGCGCTTGGTCACAGCCAATGTTCAAACGATGCGTGACTCCAACGCTTCATTCTTCAATCCCTCAGGGCACGGTCAGCGGCGCCAGTACCTTTATTCTCAGGTTGCTACCTTAGGCCTCGACGTTGTCTGCCTGCAAGAAGCCCGCAGCAAGGGTGGCCGTTGGGACACAGCCGGCCTCCTCACCTGGCGCTCCGGCGCGCAGAAAGGGAGTTACGGTTGTGAAATCTGGATAAGGCCTGGCATTACCAATCCGCCCTTGCGGCTTGATGACTGGCGCATCGCTAGCGCCGACCCTCGTCTTCTCGTTATTGTCAGCAAGCGTGCGGACTTACCCATTGCTGTCATCGCCGCCCATGCCCCCCACGCTGAGCGGCCCGCTTCTGAGATTCACCACTTTTGGTCTTCGTTGCACTCGTCCCTGTGCCAGTTGCCCCGGGCTCTGTCTCTTGTTCTCGGCCTGGATGCTAACGCTGACCTACTTTGGGCGGACGAAGACCACGCCTATATCGGCGACTGTCTGGGCAACAGTGAGGAGGGTGCTGGCGAGCAAGGTCTTTTTGACACTATCCAGCGTTTCGGCCTTCTTGCTCCGGCTTCCTTCTCCGCCATCCAACAGGGCCCGGGTTGGTCCTGGGAGCATACGGGCGGTACCAGGAAGCGGCTTGACCATCTCCTGCTTCAGGCGGGTCCATGGCAGTGCACCCGCGCCCGTCAGCTTCCCGAGTTGGACATTCTTAACGGCCGCAGAGATCATATGCCTCTCCTTGTTGAATGCTGTCTTAAACGACAGGCGACACTGGCACGACCCCCCGGGGCATCCAACCGAGCTACCGCTAAGCAAGCACAGCTTATTGCTGCCAGCCTTTGGCGTGAGCTCCCATCTCCCGTGCGCAGCATCGTTGAGGTTGGACAGGAGATCAGGGATCTCAAAGCTAGGCACCTCCGCCTCTTGGAGGCCCTTCCGAGAGCTCCTCGGCGGCCTGCCCGCCAGCCCTACATCACTGCTGAGTCTGTTGCCGCCCTGGATGTTGTGCGGCAGGCTCGCGAGCAACTCCCGCGCCTCCGCAGTAATGTCGAATGGCAGAAACGGCGCTTTCTTCTCCTTGTGTGGCGATGGAGTTGCGTCAGGGGTCGATCCGACACTGCTGTCCCCCGCCCAGACCCCACCGGGCTTCAACATGCCAGGTTGTTGTTACAGGCCTGTAATCTGCACATCCGGGGTCTGCAGCAGAAGGCACACTATCTAGCCCGCTCTGACAAGCTTGCCCATTTCCGCACTCTTACCCTTGCTGCCACCCAGCACTGGGAATCCACAGGCGTTCCTTTGGAATCTATCCGGCATCTTCGATGGGCCTCTCGCAAGGCCCATGACCGCCGGGCTGTGCACGCCGCTGGCGGTTTCGACATCGACCGTGAGCTTGAAGCACAATTTCGTGACCAGGAAGGCGCCCGCCTCGTCTCTCCGGCACTGCTCTCACAAACAGCCGAGCAGTGGCTCTCTGTCGATGCCACTCGCTCCCCGTGCCTCGAGGCAGTTCCTTCACTGCTCCAAATGGAGCAAATGTGCATCCGACAGGCACCAGCTAAGGCACCAGGACCTGACGGCCTGCGGAACGAGCTCTGGCGGGAACATGGAGCTCTTGCCGGACAATGGCTTTGGCCACTCTGCACCCGCATTGCGCTTCAAGGCCGAGAACCCTTCGATTTCAAGAAAGCCATCGTCTGCGCCCTCTACAAAAAGGGCCCGGCATCAGTACCTGCCAACTACCGTTCCATTGCCCTCCTTAACGGCATCGCTAAGCTGTGGCATTCGCACCTCCGCACCACGGTCGGTGGACATGTGCTGTCTCGTTATGAGCCCATGCAGCTAGGAGGGCGCAGAGGTGTCCACACTGGGTTTGCACTGGCGGCTTTCCGATGCGCCTGGGACCTTTCCGTCGCAGCGGGGCGGTGCGTTGCTGTTGTCTTTGTCGACATCCAAGCCGCTTACTATGAGGCTAGCCGAGATCTTCTCTTCGATGGCTTCCCTGACGATGTTGATGTCCCGGAGCACCATCACCTTGCTGGACTTGTCCTCCAGCTTCACGGCCAGGGGGCTCTCTCCGCTCTTGGCGTTGCTGAGGATGTCAGCGCGCTCCTTCGGGATTGTGTTGCTCTGTCCCACTGGTCGCTCTCCGGGTCGGACAACATTTTCTTGGCCTCCCGAGGCTCCCGTCCCGGCGACGGCCTAGCGGACGTTTTGTTCGGCGCCCTATTTGCCATTGGGCTGCAACACATACAGCGCACAGCTTGTTCCATGGGCATCTCGCACACCAGTGCCGGGGTCGAGATCGGCCTCGAGCCAGGCGTCAAGCCGATTGGCTGGGCTGACGACCTTGCCGTCCTTGCGGACTTCGATAGTCCTGCCGAGCTCCAAACACAGCTCCCCCAACTCACTGGTGTCATTCTTGATACCCTCCGGTGCTTGCGGTTCCGGGTCAATCTTGGAGCGGGCAAAACTGAGGCCCTTGTCGATATTAGGGGAGACGGTGCTCGCGCTGCACGAGGCGCCATGCTCAGCGGCGACGCCCTTTTGGAAGTCTCCCAAGGTGACAGCATTCGACTTTGCCCTGAGTACAAATACTTGGGTGTAGCCCAACTGCCTCGAGACACCGGCAGGCGCGACTGCGAGCTGTCGGCACAGCGGGGGTCAGCGGCGGCGTCGCTTGCCCGAACCCTGCTGTGCAGCAATTGTCTTCCCTGGGAACTGAAACGAGCCTGGATTACCGGCCGAGTTCTCCCCTCAGCTTACTCCTCCTTGGCCTTCTCGCGCGCTGACTCCGCCCGGGCTGCTGCGCCATTGGCTGGACTCTTTGAACGCACAGCTAGGATCCTGTTGTCTTCCTGGCAAGTCGGTCACAAACTTACCACCCCCTTGCTTCGGCTTCTCGCTGATATCACCCCTCCTGACCTTGCTACCACTGTTAGCCAGTGCCGCCTCTGTGTGCAACTTTTCTGCAAGGCTCCAGCGGCTGTCAGGGAAATTGTCGATGCTGCGTGGAACCGGGCAATCCCTTGGTGTCAGGCCCTTGTCCTTGCTTGTTTGCGAGTAGGAGTCGCCCTAGACTCCTGGGACCCCGCCGCTCCTCCCGCCATCACTGTCCTGTTCGTCCAGCAGAACGGACGCGCTCTCCTTCGAGCGTGCAAGGCTCTGAGCAAATTTGGGCACAGGTATGCTGCCTGCGCCCAGCTTTGGGCGGACCTGGCCACCCGTCGCACCACCAAGATCCTAGGTGCGCCACAATCCCACAGTTGTCCGGTCTGTCGAGGTGTTTTCCCGAGCCTTCATGCAGTACGCGCTCACATGCATCGGAAACACGGCGTCCTGTCTGATGTGACTGCCTATATGGCGGGCTCGGTTTGTCTCTGGTGTATGCGAGACTTCCAATCCTCGGATCGACTGAAGCACCACCTTCAAACGCAGCGCTCCTGCCTGCACGGCCTGCGTGTTACAGTCGGCCCTGTCTATCAGTACGGCTCGGGCACAAAACGTTCGGGTCGCGCCAGCCACCGGGGAGTCCCTCCACAACGCATCTGCGGGCCTTGCAATGCCACCCCAGCGCAGAGACGGGCGGCCGACCTCGGGGTGCCGGCCGATGACGCGGCCCTGCAAGCTGAGTGGGAAGCTGTTCAACGCTCCCCTGCGCTCTCGGACCTTGTCCCCGGCAACCTGCATCGACCATCTTCCTTGTCGCCTTCCGACGATGCCTCCGGCGCACAGCAGGCCTGCCTGATCTCCGCTGCTCGTGGTTCCTCCCCCAAGTCCCTTGCCTCCCAGCATTCCTGCTCGGCCACTGTTGAGGCGGCCTCTCCTGCGCAACACCCTTTGCAATGGTTCTCCGTTGTGGAAGGGGCTGCTGGCTGTGACGA